TTTTTATATGTAAATTTATATATATATGTAAATACTCATTTTTTACTAATTAGCATTAATCTAAAAAAAAAGTGATAAAAAAATCTAATTGCAGATTTGAAAAATGTTACAAAAGTGGGTTTAGAAAAGTATATTTTGGTGTCTGATGAAAGTGTTTTGTAGACTAGTAAATGTATTCATAAGTCTTAAAAAAGCCTTAAAAATTTATAGACGTTTGCCATAAAAGTAATAACTTTTTGATAATTTTTTATAATTTCACCGTAAAAATTACAATATTAAATTATTCATTATCAATTGTATATTTCGTTGAATTGTCATAATAGACATATACATTATACTTATAAATCGAAGAACTACTAATGAGAATATAATTAAGGAAATAGGTGTTAATTTTGCTTTTGAAATGATTGACTGATTTTTGAAAAATAAACACTATCTATAGATTGCATCGAAGTGTCTCTTATGAAGATGACTTTATTCACTGACAGATATTGTCTATACTTGTTCCAACAATACTATGTCCACACTGTGCCACGACTTTACTGTGCTACCTTTTCCTAGATTTTTAATTTGTCTTTTATTATTGAAAAAAAGTAATCCTTTAGTTAATATTTATTTCCCAAAAATGAATGTTATATAATTAATACTAGATAGATAAACTGTTTAGGAGGTGCAATAACATTCAATGTAAAATTTTGAGCCTAATAATATTCTAAGATTGTTGATAATTATATGCTTGACGAAATTCCATGTATAATTTTTTATTAAAATTATAAAAAAGAAAAAAAAGTGAAACTGCTATTCATTTTAAACATCTTTTCAATTGTGTTTTTAAATAGGATGAAATAAATAAACGTAATTCGTGTATTGCTTGGAAACAAATTATTGCTGTTATAAGTGACGTTCTCGAATTCTTTATAAGTAATATGTTTTACATTGTCCTGTGTTATCAGCAAGATGAAAATATCTTACATATACTTTTAAAAAAGGATATTTTTTGAAACGTTTTGGATAGTTGTGGTGTGTGGGTAGCCGTCGATGGAGAGCGTGCACGATATTTATCGTGTTTAGCGTCTGCGGGCGAAGGCAATGAGGCGGAGTCGACTACAATCGCACCTTTAAAGTATCCGCAGTTGGTGGCACGAACGTAGTCTGTGAAAGGTTTTCCCAAACGTCCGCGTTGTTGTTGAATAAACGCGGTAATCTTCATCGTAAAAGAAGTAGCACATAAATGAATGTATTCCTTACGGTTTAAAAGCTTCGTTTAAAAATCACTTGTTTTACCATACGAGGGAAAAACTGTAGGTTTTTATTAGTTCACGTGCTGCTGTTTGGAAATTTTAACAAGTATAATTATTTCGTAAGTACTTTTTTCTTTTTAGCACGTTAAAATCTATTTTTTTTTTTATAAAGAAACGGTTATAAAATAGAGTTTAAGTTCACCATAAATTCGCCAAGCTTTGAGTTCCAGTTAAGCGCTCGATTTTTAACGTATTGATTAAATAATGAAAACATGTTGAATGATTAATACTGCTGTTGAATTAGGAGAATTAAAATATTAATGAAGACCTCGGTGGTACGCTATTACGATTAAGTAAACTTAATACAATGGCTGTGAATTGATAACCTATATAGTAATTAAAATTCTAATTGAAAGATAAAGACGATGGTGTTGAGTATTGTATAGTTGTATACCTAATAGAGGGAGAACATTTATAATTACTGTTGTTAGTAATAATATTTATAGTTAATCATGTTATCGAGTTATTTAGAATTTAATATATTAAATTTTATAAATATACATATTTATAAAATATAATAAATTACTATAGTAATTTAAGAAAATATTACAATAGGACTATTTCAAACGTATCTGATATATGAATTATGAAATAAACAGTCAAAAGTGTAGGAGAGAAGAATTGTCATAACTTAGTTCCTCAATCATATCGAATAATTATTTTCATTAATATATAAGGAAGGCTAATAATTTAATATAGCTCCCCGAAAAATTTGACCAAGTAAACGTGTATAACATTATATTGCCAACAATTATTTTATATAACAATTAACAAAAAATTTTGTTGTTTTTGATATTAAATATTAGATGAAATACTTACTCCTTTAAATAATTGACCTCTAAAAAAATGTTTACGTTTCAATATAAAAATATACATTTTATCATTTTATCATTTAATATTGTGAGTTGATTGTCTTTTGTACTATGAAGTTAAATTCTTATTTTGGATACACATGTATATTAGTTAATAGTTTATACTTTCTCTATTTTTAGACTAACTATTTAAAAGTTGTATACATATATTATGTTTAACAAAAAGAGAATTTTATTGAGTTGTATACGTTTTAATGTACAACTTTGAATAAAACTTACGGGAGTTATAGTAATTTAAAAGTTTTAAGTATGTCTAGAGGAAGGAAATGTTAAGCTTGCGTTATACTTCACCATTATACAAAGTTCTTCTATTGCTAACTTTTAAACTTTATAATCTATCAGTTTTCAATTTTTATATAAACGTGTTAATGTTAATCGAACACTTGAGTTTAAAAAAATGTTTTTTTTTTTAATTTAAAAAGGTTACTTACATTATTACTAAAATCTAAATTGAAAAAGTAAATATATTATCCCGTATAATCTTAAAAAAGAATAAATAATAAAGTAATTCAAATTATATACGAGAAGGAGTTTAAATCAAAACTTAGACATTTTCATTTTATTTTGACTTCATCTAATATAATATATTATTGTTATATTATAACACTTTAATATTAAATTTATAAATTAATAGTGTTAAAACTTATTGATTTCTTTTCAGTTCTATTATGCTCAATTTCACAAAGTTCTCAATATAAAATATTTTGTAAACTTTAAATTGTTATTTATGAAGTCAATAATGAATAATATTGTGAGTTGATTTTTTATATAAAAAAGTAAATTAAATTTCATAATTATTACCTTGCTTAGTATTTGAAATAACGTTATGATTGTCGAATTTCCTTAAAATTTTGAAATAAATCGTTTAGTTGCTGTATATATTTTTTGGCTAATAGTGCACAATAGGATCTTTATTCTTTTTTTTTTGTTAGTGTTTAAAATGTACTTTTTAGATCTTCATAAAACTCAATTAATATTCTCTAATTTTTAATGTACAGATAATTGTTTGTAACAAATATTGGTCACAATAGATAAATATCTATTTATGAATTTGCCTAAATGTTTTGTATTTCTTGTACAATTATGAGTACAAGTGTAAATTATATGGATTTCATCACACAAAAAGATTTTTAATTGATATAAATATACTTCAGGTATGCCAGTTAATTTAAAATTATTTTAGCTCTCGAAAGGAATTTCAATTTAATAAAATTTTATAAGTAAAAATGTAAAATATTTTATAAATAATAATTAGTTTTTAATTATACGTGTGAATGCTGAAAATGTTTTAACAATAATTAATAAATATTTAAAAAGTACTTTTATCTTATCCTTATACCATCTAGTTTCACATTAAATGGAAAGTTACTCATAATATTTAGTTAATGAAACAACTTAATTCAAATAGATCTATTTTTATTGAAGGAATATTAATTTTATTGTCTTTTAAAATATAAAATATATTTGTTAAAAAATGTGAAATGCAGTCGAGATATTATCTTAACGACATACAATGTATAAAAATGACTTCGATGTAAAATCAAAGAAATTTCAGAAAAATATATACAAATACTTGTATAAAGATGGCTGATTGAGTAATAATGTCCAATTCAAATTCATCATAAATACTTATTCGAATTTACTGGAGGTTACTTTATCTAAATTTGTAATTTTTTTATTCTTTATTTAATGGAACTCAATTAACTAAAAATATTTTTACTAACAAAGTAAATAAACTATTTGAATCTTATAGATATTGATATTACATAAAACGATGCTGAAAACATAACCGTTTCAGTTCTACAGCTGTCGTTTAAAAACAAACTGTAGTATACTCTTAAGTATGTCAGGACCAGAAACATCCTCCACAGGCAGCACATTTATTATTATTTTTATTATAGAGGCTTATTTTGAATTTGATTTCTCGCCGGCAAAATACCCTTGCCGTATCTACGTAGTAATATATCAAATACCGTGTCAGTTATGTGTGGTGTTTATTATTTGTTTATTACTTTTAGCATGCACATATTTTCCAAAGATGTACGTATAATGAATGGCTTGTTCACGTATAATACCCGTAATACAATTACGCTAAGAAAAACAAGCATGAAAAATCGATTAACGGTCCTGCTGTATATAATTTATAGCCAATCTTGAATCGATTTACTGTATTGTCGAAACAGTTAAGTAGCTAGTGTTAATGGTCCACAGTATTTAAAGTGATGCTTTGTGCTTTCATTGAGGGGACTATCAATAGTAAATCCCTACAGTAAAGTTCCCACCGTTGGAGTTCACAACTGTACTGTGCGCCGGAAAAATACGTCGTTCATTATTTTGAATGGATAAATATTGACGGAAAAACAAAAAACGAGCAGTCCAATTTCCTGTAGTCGTCTATAAATGCTAATCGATAAAAAACCAAGCTATACACCTACTTGCTGGGTGATTGATGACGAATTCAGTTGTTATGATTTCGTATAAGTTACGTACATTATTTTTCTTTGAGCGAAATGATTTCTAAATTTTATTATTTTTGACATTTCTACTTTTATTCCCACTTCTTTTTATTGATGTTGACTTTCACTTTTTTATGGTTATTTACAAAAAAACAGTTGTATACATGTATAACTCGTTTAATTATCAATCAGATGGGATCAAGTTTCTGTAATGTGTAATTTGACACGTGACACGTGTAAAATACTTATTCGATCTTTGATACAAGAGTGACACTCATTCTTATTTGTATTATCGTCTAGGAATATAATGCATAACTGGGTCTGTTAAAAATTCACGAAGATTTCTGGTTAGGTATTAAATATTTAAGGTTTATATGTTACTTCTTTTAAAATCGTTTGAATAAGAACTTTGTTTTTTAAAAACAAACTTTTTTTTTTAATTTGAAACAAATCCAATGTCTATTTTTGCGAACTATACGTATAGTTAATGTATCATTAAATTTTTTATGATGTACAGTTCAAAAATAGTTTATTATAAAATTAAAAAAAAAAAAAAAAAAAANAAAAAAAAAAAAAAAGTATTGATTCTTAAATACCATTGATATATATATATTTCTTTTTGATTAAACGAATTTTGTTTTCACTTATTAGAATTATGTTTTATTTTGATTGAGACAATAAGCTTAAAATCTATGCAAATGTTTTTTGTAGTCTTTTGTTTGAACAAAATACAATTTTTGCATAGTGTTTTGCTTTAACACAAAACTGTCGTTTAAAGATATTGGTTATATAATAACGTATGCTCTATTTATAAAATTTATATTATTTTAACTTGCATTGTAACTGATATTATAAAAGACTTTTTCAATATTTTATTTCATAAATTATTTTTAAAAAACCTGTGAAGTTTGTATTGTTTGTATATTAAAAACATACTACCTTATTAAACGAATAAAACAATAAAAAAAAGTAATAAACTCGCGTTTCAAAATAATACACGTTATTGTAAAAATATTTACTTTAAAAGGTAAATCTTATTATGATGAAAAATTGAATAAATTAATACTAATATTAATTATATAGCAGTCTTTCATTTATGTTCAATAATAATTTGATTACATATGATGTAAGTTTGGTATTGTCTTTTCTGGTTAAAAATTAAATATTTCCTCTTTAATTGTTCATATTGTTTTTGATTGTAAGTTATCGTGGATAGCATACCATATTTCAAAAAATAATACTGTTGATCTGATACGATATTTTGTATGCCATTTGACAATTGCTCTCTTTTAAAGATTGTTATGGTGTCATATGTCTTCTCAGCTTTTAACAAAATATATCACAAAGTTTTTTTCAGCATCGGTTTTTTGAGGTTAAGTTCGTTTCACTTTAATAGGAATAATATGATTTGGTTGACTGTATTATATGGAAACCTGATTTTGCAAGCTATGAAATTGGAGTAAGCCGCTTGCTTTATTTACTTAAAAAAAAAAATGAAATCTAATTAACAAACTACGTTAATAACTAACAATTTTTTTATGGAAAATGAACGTTTGAAATTTAATTAACATTGTATAACCAAATTGTTTGATAAATTAATACTGAATCGTTAAAACGCTTATTTTGAGTAACATAAACGCAAATTCATCATTATTTCATTTAGCCCATAGCGTAATGATTAATTTAATTATCAAACTTTTTTGTTTAGATCTAACAATATAGCTCGTAAGG